AACAGAAACCGTGGGATTATAATTACAACTATTACAGGCAGCAGCAGAGGCCATATGATAACTGGCCCAAGCAATGCCCTGATAGGAGGAGGAATCAGCAAAACCAGCTGTCGGGGGGCTCCCCTCTCGCGTGGGGTTGCCGCCCCCATCCGGGGTGTAATTCAGACCACTTGGGTCTAGTTCCCAAGTGCAATGCCCCTGTATTAGGGGAAATACGTCCTCCCAGCCTAGTCCTTAGTATCCAGGCTCTGCGGCTCAGTCCTTCAGCCTGAGCCCCCACTCGCTGGGGTGCAGGGCCCTCCCTCTCCACTGGGCCCCAACCCCGGGCCCTATCAGTGGCAGGCGGCTCCCACCACTGGCTCGGCGGGGGTTCCTCCCCACAACGTGCTGAGCACTCGGGCTTTTCCTGCTCCCTTCCCCAGGTCACTTCCTGCCCCCGGCCTGTAGCGGCCCCACCTGGCGGTGTGAGTTGGGTGGCTGTAGTGGCACTTCCCCATGTCCGGTCCAGTGCCTGGGTCACGGGGGGTTGGCTGGCGGCTCTGTCGTTGGGGTCGAGCCCGGCTTGGGCCTGGCAGCGGCGCATTCAGTGGGCCTGGCGACTCCCTCTCTGGCGGTCCGGTCTGCGACTTGGGCGGTTGGGCGCTAGCTCCAGCTCTGGCCGCGGTCTGCCCCTTCTGAGCAGGCCTGCAGCCTCTTGTACTTTGGCTCCCCTGGGAGCATGCCCAGTCAGGCTGTGTGGGTGGGACCCTCTCTGCCCCCGGCACCAGGTGGTTTCCCTGGGCTTGAGTGCAGGGCGGGGTCACCCCGTCACACCAGCCCTCCACAAGTCAGTCCACCCACCTCTAACAAGCAGCAAATTTGAAGTTTTGGTCAGGGCCACTCCATAAGTCCAGTGCAGTCCAATGTCACCTTTGGTCACCACCTGAGACCTTTCTACCAACAGTGGGCCCAAGTTACCACAGACAAATGGGTCCTAGAGATTATCAGATTGGGTTATATATCCGCTTTACTTCCATGCCCCCTACCTAACATCCTAGCCGAAGGATGTTACAGGCAGAGGTGCAAAAGCTAGTTACCTTAGGAGCAATAGATCATTATCAGTAAAGAGTCTACCCCTTTGGCCTTTCTGCAGCCCCTCAAGTATTTTCAAAGACCCTAGCTGTAGTCACGGCCTTTCTCAGAAGATCAATATCGTCCCTTACCTAGATGATTGTCTAATCAAAGGCCCTACCTATCAGCAAACTACTATCATGATGGCTATTACCAGGGAATGTTTTTCCCAACTTGGCAAAAGATAGAGTTCATTGGTGCATTGCTAGACTCAGTTACAGCAAGTGCCTACCTCCCGCCACAAAGATTCAGGGTCATCTGCGACCTCGTTCAACAGGTCAGACAGGCCCCCTTCTCCATGGTCCGGATGTGCCTTCAATTACTAGGGCATATGGTGGCCATGAAGTTTGTGGTCTTGTTCGCAAGGCTGCACGTGTTGCCTACAACATTGGCTTGCAATCAGCTACATACCAACCTGTCGCTGCCTCGCAAAGCACCTGTCGCTTTCTCTACCAGTGTTCCAGTTCCTCCAGAGGTGGATGTCTCTGAACAACCTCCTCATCTGTATACCCTTCCACCGACCAGACCGTTCAGTTACTATAACAGATGCATACCCATGGGCTGGGGAGCCCACTGTGGCGCAGCGTCAATACAGGGTACATAGGCCCAACACGAGAAAGTTTCACATCAGTATCCTAGAGCTCAGGGCCATTCGCAGGACTTGTGTCCGTTTCCTTCCCCCGATAAAGGGCAAAACTATCTGTGTCCTCATGGACAACACACCATCTATGTTTTATGTCAACTGGCAGGTGGGTGCCTGATCTCACACTCTATGTGCCAAGGCAGTCTGATTCTGGAACCGGTACATCAGAAACTAGATAACCCCAATGGCCATGTACATACCAGGACAACAGAATGTGAGATCCGACAAACTGAGCAGACGTTTCTCAGATCAGCACGAGTGGGAGTTCAATACTAATGTCCTCCTTTCAATCTTCCACACATGGGGCTTTCCAACTATAGACCTCTTTGCAACACCTCATAACTACAAATGCCACAGACTCTGCTCTCGGGCAGGACTAGGCAAGAGGTCAGAAGGGGATGCCTTCACCATCTGCTGGACAGCTCCACTACTTTATGCCTTTCCACCAATTCTGCTTATCAGCAGAGTGATCAACAAAATCTGATCCAATTGGGCCACAGTAATCTTAATAGCCCCAGCCTGGCTGAGACAGCCCTGGTTCCCTTATCTACATTCCCTGTCGATAGATCAACCTATCCCTCTTCCGGTGGTGCCGAATCTCCTCACACAGCACTATGGCAGTCACCTCAATATCAAAACTGTGAAACTCACGGCGTGGTTTCTCCATGGTTCCAGAATGAAGAACTCACCTGTTCAGACAGGGTTAAACAAATTCTTCTAAACAGTCAGCGCCCCTCCACAAGAAGCACCTCTCAAAACAAGTGGATGCGTTTTCAGCAATGGTGCATGATGTACAATTTGAATCCCACCACAGATGCCATACCTACCTTACTCGACTACCTCATGGACCTTAGCAACACGGGCCACTCCATCAGCTCTGTTTGAGTCCACCTGGTGGTGATCATGGCCTTCCATGATCCGGTAGATGGCTTCTCTCCACACATCCCGTGGTGAAGTGTTTTCTCAGTTTTACAGAAAATGCATCCAAACCTTGGCCCCACGGTGCCACAATGGGACCTGAATTTGGTCCTTGATACACTCACGATGCCACCCTTTGAGCCATTAGACACTATGCCACCACAACACGTATCTATGAAGGTGGCATTCATAATGGCAATAACATCAGCAAGAAGGGTAGGAGAAATTGCAGCCCTCATGGCTGACACTCCTTTCACTACATTTACCTCAGACCTGACCTCAAGTTCCTCCCTAAGGTTATATCCAACTTCCACGTAAATGAACCGATTTATTTACCTGCCCATTTCCCTAAATCTCATGCCTCCCCCAAGGAGGCTGTATTACATACGCTGGATGCAAGGAGGGCAATTGCGTTCTACCAGTCTAGACGTAGCCCACATGATCACTGCAGGAGAAGTCTAACACTCATATTTGCTATGATAAGCCTGTAATTTAGGGCAGGCATAACATACAGGACCTGTTGATTCGGAACAAACTATGCCAGACTATTTATCACCTCTTGCCTTAAGGATGTTTTCCTGAGATGGTGCCTTCACTTACCTCTCCTCAGGCCTTGGAGACTATAAGCATGCATATTGCCAGAGTTCTGTGCATGATTGCTGACACAAACTACAGAACTAAGTGCTGAACTGAGGTATGCGTGATCTCAGAGGATACACATCTTCCATCTGCTCAGCTACACCTCACACTATTAGGGTACGTCTAAACTACATGCCTCTGTCGGCAGAGGCATGTAGATTTGTTTGTTCAGCAAAGGTAAATGAAGCCGCGATTTAAATGATCGCGGCTTCCTTTACATTTACATGGCTGCCGCGCTGAGCCGACAAACAGCTGATCAGCTGTTTGTCGGTTCGCGTGCTAGTCTGGACGTTCCCCCTGTCGACATCAAAGCCCTTTGTCGGCAGTCCCGTTATTCCTCGTGGAATGAGGTTTACCGGGGCTGCCCCCCGGTAAACCTCATTCCACGAGGAATAACGGGGCTGCCGACAAAGGGCTTTGATGTCGACAGGGGGAACGTCCAGACTAGCACGCGAGCCGACAAACAGCTAATCAGCTGTTTGTCGGCTCAGCGCGGCAGCCATGTAAATGTAAATGAAGCCGTGATCATTTAAATCGCGGCTTCATTTGCCTTTACTGATCTGTCTAATCTACATGCCTCTGCCGACAGAGGCATGTAGTCTAGACACAGCCTTAATGCAGCTGAGGCCCTAGCAGATAAATGCAAATTCAACTCTTAAACACAAGTAATGGCAAGGTTTTTGTAGTCCTTCATGTCTGCTAATGGCACAAACCCAGTGTCTATTGTTAGGTGCAGGGCACAGAGTGAAGGTTTTATTGCAGGGTTACTGTGCTACCTAATTCATTTCATGGTTTGACTAAATTTAATTATCTGAAATCTCTGGGTTCTGCAAATGCATGGGTAACCTTTACTGTGACATTTAGTAGCATAATAAAGTTGGCTATTTTGTATACATTTGTACTTGAATCTTATTTTAATGTTGCTGTTTGAACATCTCTGCATTATCTGTCTTCTGTATTTAAATACTGTAGTCAGACTTAGTGTTACTCTAACAGTCTGCCATCTTAAATTAACTTATCTAAAAAAAATGTTGGGAAGAGAACTCCTTCCCCATCACACAGCAGCCAAAACTATTTTGGGTCTAGCTCCTTCCTGTTCTCCATTGCATGGACTATGTTAACCTCTCCAAAGATGAATATGCAAGTATTTAATACTCATCTTGCACTGTAGTTGCACCTAGATGCCTCAATCTGACTTGTGGTCTCACTGTGCCAGGTAATGTGTAAATGTATTATTATGGTAAGGATTGTCTTAGGCAGTGGTTCAGTGATTGGCCACTCTTCCCATTAAGGAGCTCTTGGATCATTTCCCACCTGCTTGGTTTAGATCATACCCCTCTGGTTTAGCAATACAAGAAGTATTTGTTTGTGTTTGTGAGTTGACACACATGTGTGAATCTTTACCATTATAAAATCCAGGTTGAGATCCCTGGGCCTACAAAACAAATTCACGGTGTGTTTGAAGACTAAGGCATAGAGTGGCTATTTGACTGTTCAATCAGTGGAGCGAAAGCATACGATCTGCAAAGGTAGAAATTGCAGGCCTCTGAAGGAATTCCTGCCTTTGACTCCTAATATGGTTTTGGAATGAGCCCAGCAGATCTGAAGGTGCTCTAATAGTGAAGGAGAGGTATAAGCTTTGAAACTCTCTGACCTGGATGTTTTTACATACTCTCCTTCCTGGTTGCAGTTTTTCCATTACTCTCAAGGGAATGCATACCATGGGAAGGACACACAGTTTAAGAACAGAATCAGTTGGGCTGGAGACCTTAACAAGAAAGATGCATCTGTCAGCATAGCAAATGTGCAGTTCCGGGACAACGGTACTTACTTCTGCGATGTCAAGAACCCACCTGACATAGTCGTCAAGCCAGGAGAAATCCGACTAAGAGTCGTGCAGAAAGGTACCTCCCCTCACTTATTCTTCTTTCCTTTAGGTGCTGTTCTGGGCCTGTGAGACTGTTTTATCTCTAGTCTCCCAAGTTCCAACAGCCACTCCCAGGCTTTGTTGTCAAAGTTACTTTCTGAAGCTATCAGTTCTAACCCATTTTTTGAACTTCATCCACAGTTTTCCCAAATCCTAATTTTTTGAATGTTCTAAAGTCTGCAGACAAATCCCATTTCTCTTGCATGGCTGTCAGGAGTCAACAGGTTGCTTGCTTTAAGAGTGAGGTGGAGTGTGGGCTTGGTTCTGTTATGCTGGAAAATTAACATTTTGTCTGTCTTCATGTTGGTGAAATAGATGCTTGGCTTCATGCTGTTTGAATTTCAGATGATAGAAGTCACTCCTTTCAGAACAGGAACCAAAAGAGCAGAGATTATTAAGTGATCTAATCAAGACCTATGGATTGTTTATATTTAAGGCTATTATCACTCTGAGATCATAAAAAGCAGAATTGTTAAAATTTCCTAAATAGTTATTAGAAACGGTGTTGAAAGAATTTAACAAGTTTACAAGTCATTTCAAGCAAAAATGAAACACTAAGCATTACAGCAGCACTGAGTTAATGTATGTTTAGAGAAATCCTATGCAGTGATATAATCAAATTTCTCAATTCAGCAGGGTGTTATATTATAGGTGACCTAGACATGTTTTATGTTTCTCTCTGAGCTACTCTGATTTCCATGAAGCTAAGGATCCACGTTCCTCTTCTAATTCAAATGACTTACAGTGTGTTTGTGACTTTTGACATGTAAAACTGATTTGGAAGGCTCTTGACTTGAGAGGTCATTGAGCTTACTTTAAGTGGGGTTTGTACCAGTTTAACTAACTTGCTTTTACAAAAACACTTATTTAAATCAGTGGGACTTCTTATGCAGACAAGGCCTATACCCAAAACCTGATAATTAAACCTGTGAATCTTGTGTTAGCCTGTGGCTGGATATCTTTCTTTCTCTCCTGTGAGGTACTAAATTCAAAGTCTCTATAAAATAGATCAATTTTGATAACTTATTTTAATTTTTTAAAGATATAATAAATAAAAGGTCTTAAGCTACCTACATTGGATTCCTTCAAGTCTTAAATAGCTTTGCCATGGCAACCTTAAACAAAAAGAACATGCATGTAACTGGTCTCTAACAGGCATTACAGTTTAATCCAGGGGTGGCCAACTCGCAAGCCACATGCGGCTCGTCAGAGAAAAAAACTGCGGCACCTGCAGTTCTTAAAGGGACAGAGCCGGAGTAGCAGCGTCCTGTGCAGACTTCAAATGGATGCCTTCAAAATGGCCAGCTTAAAAGGGCAATGCCTGCTCTGCTCTTAAAATGACAAACTGTGGTGGTTTTTTTTTTTTTTCCTCATCCAAATGGCAGCTGGGGCTTTTTTTCCCAACTTTTTTTCTCAACTTTTTTCCCTTGGCTCTTTGCACTGTATCCACCACTTTTTTGGCTCTTCGTCTTTAACGGGTTGGCCGCCCCTTGTTTAATCTATGGTTTTGCAGTGTCATGCTGAAGTTATCTAATTGTTTTACCTCAAGGCTGCTTCCATTGTCCTGATCTATCAGTCACTCCCAAGACATTCATCAATGTAATGCAGGTTTATCTTGTTCACAGGTGTAAGCCCTTGTAATCAATTCTTCCTCTCTTTAGCCATCCTGAATTTGAAGTGGATGCCTGAGTTTACATCTCCTTGTTAACCTTGCTGACCATCTGGTGTTGAAGTCTTCTGTATATTGTCTTCCTACATTCCACAATAGCACAAGACAGTTCATTTCAAAGAAAGCAATTTCCCTTTCAAAGGAACAGGCAAGATTTCTTGCAGACTTACAAAGTTAAAGAGAATTTTAAACAATTTACTAACTTATAATACCTAATACAGAATATATTTCAATACCTAGCAGATGCTATAAAATAAAGCTTATGAAACAATCTACATAACTTTGTAAAACAAAGCTCTAAAATAAAGCTACAGTATATAACTACTACTGTGTGTCAGGCCAAAAGGTAAACTGGGTTGGCCTAAAACAAATATTGCTCCAAAAAGATGTTTGTAAACTGCACAAGAAAATTTTGGCCATTTCAGAGATGATGGAAATTTCCCTGGACAAGGCAACATGAACTATTGCAGGAATTCAAGGGATGCCTTTTTCCCCCTCTAGATGGTGAGACGGTGACATGAAAGACTTGTATTCAAGACTGTCATAAGTAGGGGATAACATTCTCATTTGCCCATATGGGCTTGCCAAGAACAGGCTAGACTGCTCATTAATAATTGGCTAATGGCTCTTTTCTGTGTTCAGCTATTTGATCCTTGAGACTGAAGTTTCTGCACAAAAAGTCTTCCTAAGACTAACCATTGCTTAAATTTAAAGGACAAAGGTGGCTGTTTGCAGGTGATCACCCAGACATTGAGGTGTCTAAATACTGGAAATACCCTCGATGGCTTTCTTTTGCACAATTAAAACCATAAACCATCACCTACCCCATATCTCTAACTTTACATACAAGGTTGATACACCAAAATAAGATACACAGCTTCAGCAGATTGCGACATTAACATTAATAGGGTATGAGGGGTATTTTGTCCAAAGCATTTTCGAGTTCTGCCTCTTTGTATCCATAAGACAATTTCATAAAGCACTGGGAAATCTGTCACACCATATTAACTGTTTCTTTAAAATCCTAGGAAGACAATGAAATCTGGGACTAAAGACAGATACAGCTGTCATTAATACCTTTATTGAAACTTGACTACTTGTATGTTCAATCTTAAACTAAGTTTTTGCAAATGTTCAGATGCTTGCAAATCAATCTCACTAATAGTTCCATATGCATAATTTGCCAGGTGGTAAATTAATATTATCAAGTTAGCTACTTCTCAAAATGTGTCTAGGAAACAGTTATTTTTTTAAATTGGATCCACTTCTGTTAGTGAGAGAGGGGTCCTGAGGAAGAGCTTGTGTAGCTCAAAAGCTTGTGTCACCAACATAAGTTGATCCAAAAGCTTTTGAGCTACACAGAGTTCTACTTCAGGACTTCTCTCTTACCAGCAGAAGTTGATCTAATAAAATGAATAAAAAAACACTGTATACAAAATGTAGCTGAGTCAGGTTTGTGACTTGACAAGTATGCATTATATATTTTGTTTTAATTGAGTCTCATTCTGTAACAGGAAACTGGTCACAGCAAGATTTGCTCTTTTCACAAAAAACCCTGAATAGCATTAATATATTTTGTGGTTTCAAGTGCCCAGCTTCTCAGTTAAGAGGAAGAAACTTTTTAGCTTGTGGGCAAAATAATGTTACTGTTATTTGAAAACATAGTTATTGTGACATCAAAGTCTACAATATTGGTAAATTTCAGATGAATTATGAATAGTTTTAAACTGTTACCTGAATATTTAGGAATGAATTGTATCTGAGCTAGGAGTATAACTACTAGAGATGTAAAATCCCATTTAATTAGGTAATGGCCAGACGAGGGCAGGTTGGGGTGGGGAGGATGGGCTGCCTCAGCAGCATTTCCAGCTCAGATGTGAAAACAAACAAAGTGGCTGTTTTCTTCCTCCTCACACCAAGTCCACTTATCTCTGCACAGTGTAACAAAGTGGCTGTTTTCTTCCTCCTCACACCATAGCAAGTCCACTTATCTCTGCACAGTGCTTAAGTGTCTCTCCCCTTCTGCCTGTGAGAAGTGATGCATCCTCTGGGATTCCTCTTCCTTAAGTGGGGAATGATCTCAGTGGACCAGATGGAAGGGCCTAGAGAGGACATCCTGCCTCCAAACCAGAGGCTGATAGCTCCCATTCTTTTCTAGTTCCTAAGAGGATACTAAGGAAAAGTAGTTCAACTGCAAAACAAGAACCAATAAAGTGAAAATGAAAAGATGGGAACAATAAATATGTGCTCATCACTGGTTTCTACATATACCCCCCCAAAAGTGGGGTGCCCATTGTAATAAGTACCAGGGCCTCATACAGGGTGCAGAAGAAGCAGCTTGCCTCCTCCATGACATCTGCTAGAGTGATGGCAGAGACTTTAGCCCTTACAATGAATGGGCAGCTCATTCAGGAAGTAGGGAGCAAAACAGAACGTGGACAGGACCAACTGCATAAATATTCCATAAACTTAGTGCACCTGTGCAACGAGATGTAGTAGGCATTACAGTATCGAGTACAGCAACCTCTATACCCTGCAGGGCTTGCTGTGGGAATGCCTTATGTGGACATAGTACATCATGAGCAATCTGAAATAAATGTCTAATGTGGAAACTCTGCTCCCTTGAAGCCTTGACTAGTTCAACTGTACATGGGGCAGGTTGCAGTGGTGCAGTTAACTAAAGCAGATGCAACTGTGGACTGGCTTGTTCAAACTCTTATCTTAATTGTGGACCTTGAAACAAATGAAAAGTGTGGAAAACTTTGCAGTTATATATTATCGCTTTTCAAAACAGCAGTGGTTTAGTTAATGCACAGACTTCCATTATAAACCACCTTTGTGCTTATTTTGTTTTTGTTTTCTTCTTCTGGCTATTCTGGCTCGGTCTTATTCAAAAGGTGTGTGTCAGAGAAAATTTGAGCAAACTAATATTACTCTTCCATTAACCTGAAAGAAAACATTACAGATATGTACCAGCAGTGTTCCCTCCAGGTGTGGAATACATGTTATGTGCACTGATGCATTTGGTGATGTACATCACCAGTAGAAACAAACATTTAGATTTAAATATATACTTTAAAAAAATTACCATCTGAACAATTATTCCAGTCAGGGCAGATTAGGCATTTTAGAACTCAGTACTCCAAGAATTAAATTGAAGTGTAAGAGAAATAAAAATGATGAAATGCACAGACCAGTCAAAACACTAAAATAACACACTTTTGAAAGAACAAAATTCCAGCAAAAATGTGAGCATTGCAAGAGGTACCATGTAGTAACAGCAACAATAATACAAGTATGTGTTGGGGAAATGGAGGGGAGTGTGAGAGCCCCAAAGACTGACACACAGATGGTGTAGATGTAGACTTGCTTTGCTCACTTGTATAATCTTGAATTATAGTGGTGCTGTATGCATGCTGCTTAAAAAATAATACGCTGTTGTATAGCTCGTCATTAGATCTCCATATGCGTTAAAGCAGTTATGCTCATTTCTTCCTTCAAATGTACCTGCTCTTTCCAGCCAACCTCAATGGGATTTGCACAGTTGTACCTGAGAACAAAGTGACTAGTAACATGAGTTCAGATTCTTGTTATACAGTTAACTCTAAATGCAAGTTCTATCCTTGGTTTATGGAAACTTTTGTTTTTATGTAAAAGTTCTCTGAATGAATGCTCAGAACAGATGGGACTCTCTTTTCCTCCATTAGCTTTTACATTTGTGCAGCATGCATTCATCCTTGACTCAAACTGTCTCCTGCTCTGAAAACGGGAGGAAGGAGACTTTTTACTAATTGGAGAATGAAGCAAAGTGTTGAATCTTTTTTTCTCCCTCAGACAGTCTGCCTGCATTCCCCATTGGCGTGGTGGTAGCAATAGCCGTGGGTGCGACTCTAGGTGTCTTGCTGCTCATTGCTGTTATCGTGTGCATCGTCAGAAAGAAGAACTCTAAAAAGCATTATTCTGGGTAAGATGACATACTTTTTCCAGTGTGGTGGGAGTTATGGTTAGGCAGTGAGGGAAGAGTGAAAGGACCATATGTGGTTGAGAGGATATAGTTATCATTTCAACCAAGTCCTGGCTTCAGCTAGCAATCCATGACCTCCTCAAAGAGATATAGTACAAAGACAAGGAGTTAGTCTGATAGTTGGGGAATTGTCATTCCTATCTGCTCTTCAGGCTTATGTTTTATTATTGGTATCTTTCTTTGTGATACAAGTTAAAAGACAAGTCTACCCTCAAGTAGTTTCATTATGATGAAAACAGGAAGCACTTTGATTTGGTTTCAGTCTGTATTAAATAACAGCTGCCCTTAGTGTTTTTTAAAAATGAAATAGTTGGAATAGTCTACTTTTTAAATTTATGGCATGTTAGTAGTGCATATTATTTGGCACCATTAACATAAAATAAAAATGAGAAATTCATAAAATAAAACACACTATCCAGAATATTTTTTAGAAGTTCTGTTTCTTAGGAAACCTTTTGAAAAAGATAGTTTTTAGTTTTGATGTTTTGGCATTTTCAAATTAGTTTTCTTTCCAAGTTTTCAGAGAAATGAAAATTGAGTTTTGACCTGCTTTTTGTTAGTGGTTGTATTACTGGTAATAAATGTCTGAGACAGAATGACTCCTGAAATAACTGAGGACACTAGGGGAGCAATTAATGAAAATTTTCAGTGGTGGAACAATGAAGGATGTAAGTCTTAAATTATATCCTGTGGGGAAAAACACACAGGCTGGTTTGAACTGGTTGAAAGGTCTTTGTAGGCCATGGCCTGGAAACTATATAAAATAACAGATTCTGACTTGAGGGGAGAGATGCATCTTAACAATTGACAGACATGAGTCTGGGACCAACACAGAAACAGACCTGGTGTATTAGACAAACCAGGATCTCCATTTGGAAGGTGAGTGACCCCCAGGTGAGCTAGGCTTGTGTATAAGCTGTTTATGTTTCTTTGAAATGCTTTTGCTTTGAATAAATAGTACTTTGCTTTATGAAAGCTGGCTGAGTCACTCAATGACCCTCTTGCTGTTCCTGAGAGAAGAGAACTGCACATGCTGAAATCAGACCTGCTGAGGCAATCATAGTGAATTTCTGGGGGCTACAGCCCAAACCCCAGTCTAGCAGGAGCAAATTACAGGATTCCGCCCCAAGGAAGGTGAGCACAAGAGGCTCAAAGCTGAAACCTAAGGGGGAGAACTTCAGAGAGACTATGAAGGAGTCAGAGGAGCAGTTACTTCTGGTACTCTGCCATATGTGGTGGTAGCAGGTGTGGGGTCTATGACAGTAGTACGTTTCAAACATTACCAACAGCAGTGAAAACAAGTACTGTAGAAAGAAGCACAGAGAAGTCAGTCATTTGGGGGAAGAGACAAAATAGCAGGAAAGAAGAGTTCTGAGTAACTAGAAAAAATTAACTGGTGGATTATGCAAAAATTGCTAAGCTGAAGAATGGACAATGGCACAGCTGGCTCACTGTCATACTTTGAGGACAAGAAATGATATTCCAAGGTCATAAGGGCACCCACATCTCAGGGAGAGATGGCAGAGACTGAAGAAGACCTTGAAGACCGCTTCCTAGCAAGAAGTGGAGAAAAGGAAGATGACAAACAGCAATTGGGCTTCATCCAGTCTGAATTCACTACTTCAACGGTTGGCATGGAACAGTCTCTGTAATTTGATGGGGGAAAAAATTGCAGCTTGAAAGGGGCAGGCTACTCTTGGAAACTCAGAGACTTGGGGACCACGAGCAGCAGTGTCAGCCCAAAGACAAACAGGTCCACTGAGAATGAGAAGAGAGAGATCAGTAGCAGGAAAGAAAAGGAGTACTAGCTGGAACTGGAAGTGCTGAGCACCCCATGATTCAGTAGAGGGAGACAAATCCCATATGCCTGATGCCTCTGGGTATAGACTCCAAAATTGTTATCTTCAGGAATAGTTGCATTAATAAATGCTTTTGAAATGAGTTGTGAATTGAACAGAGTGGCCATGAGGATATGGTGGTGTTTTGACTCTGCTGCTGACAGGGGAGCATTCATCCATATGACCAGAGAGGACTATAGAAACTATGAGCAACGTAAGCATGTGTTACTGCTATGATTAAACTGACAGCTGAAGTGCATAGAAAAATTCTAGGGTGTTCAGGAAAAAAGGGGATATGAACTATGCTGAGATTACCAGCTGCAACCCCCATACTTGCTCCCCCAATTTGGGTTGCAAATAAGCTTCCTGTCTCACCCAGGCTGGCAGCATATTCATTAGCCTAATGGTAATGCATATAATCAGAAACTGGGGATCCGGCCTAAATGGAGGTTCTGCTCTACTTGAGAGGGAGGCCACTTCAGTGGGGCCCTGGATTAATAGTGAAGAGCAGTAACAAACTGGATCATGTTTCTGGAAATGCCTCATCTGTAGAGCCCTGCATGGATACAAAATTTGTATCTGCATCTGTCGTCATATCTGCAAAAATGAGCCACAGATAAAAGTGGATAGCCATGGATTTCCTGGGCTCTACTCACCTGTCTGCAGAGGCTCATTGCAGTTGTGAAAGGTTGTCTGCATTTCAGTCTTAGCATGAACTTCGTGGCTGAGTCTCCAGAGGGAGGGAGTCACACAGACAACTCATTTGGAGCACAAACAACTGCACATAGCCTTCATAGAAAAATGACATGAAACTAAAATAACAGCTCTGGCCTGTTGTGAGACACCCTATCTGGAGCTGATTGGCATAAGATTGTGGCTAGCGATCAGGACCTGAAGTGTATTAGACTTCCCAGGGTTGATCTCCATGTGGAAGATGGGTGACCCACCTAGTATGCTAGCAATGTGGATGAGTTGTTTCAGATGTTTTATCTCAAATGCTTTTTTCCTAAAAAGATAGTTGCTTTCTGAAAGCTGTCTGGTAACTGGATAACCCTGTAACTGCCCCTGAGAGAGAAGAGCATCATGTGCTGAAGTCAGACCTACTGAAATGATCACAGTGATTTGTACGAGTCCACAGTCTAGGACTCCAGTCTGTAGGGAGAGACTCATTGGACTCTGCTCTGAGAAAGGCGACAGCTTCAGGCCTGGTACCTAGATGGCAATCCCTTGAGACCATCAGGAGATCAGAGGTGCAATTTAACTTCAACTGTGATGGTGTCTAAAGAGCTCTTCTCCATCCCTTTCTGATCCCGTCTGGAGACCTTGGAGAAAGGGGGTTTATTAGAGTCCAGTGGTAAGACTGAGTGAAATGAAGTCAGCGCCATGTGCTCAGAACTTATTGTAGAAAACCTGGCCTCTTTTATACATGTTTTTTCCCTATAACTAAAGGAAGCATGCACCTACACTATATGTGCTTATATCATGATTCAAATGCCTTGCTTCAGGTTGTTCCACTCTCTAGTGCTTTTCAGATGAAGGATGGCAGCGTGGGTGCCAAAGTTGAATCAGTAATATTTGTGCACTGTAAATTTGAAGATGTAACTACTATAGGTTGCTTTCCAGCAAAGTTATCCTTGAACTTAATACCGCTTTCACTGACCATACCAGCCCTGCATGTGTTGGTTAAGGGGAGGACCAGATGTGCTGAGGTTGCTGTTAATATCACCATCAAAGGCTCTTGGACTAATTTTAAAATGAAACTAACCCAATATGTGGCAGGTGTAATGCACAGATTGGGATAATAGTTCTGTCTTCAGCTCAAATGGGGAGGGAGGTATTAGGGTGGTGTTGGGAACCCTTGCATGGCAATGCCAAAACTTCCATTCTTACTCTGACTTTTTTTTTTCTTTTGTGCCTTGATATGCTGGGATTGGATCCTGCTTACTTTCCTTTCCTTACAGAGATCCTGATATAGACGCCAGATTGGGAATGTAACAGGGCTGGGTCTCCTCTTCCAGTCCCACTAGACACCATGGTAACTAATCACATTGGTGGTTGCTGTTAATACCTGTGTGTATGTGTACACATTTCCTCTTCCCTTGCTGACTAACCAGCTAGTTCTGTGCTAACATAACTCCATTGTGACTTGTGCTGGACTCCTATTGCAGACTGTTGGCCAGGGGATGGCACATTTCATTGGGTGCTTGGGTTTCATTGTCTTGTGTCTAATTGGGGTGGAAATGCTACTTGTCCAAAACAATGTATCTCAATCTCTTCTAGTAGTGCACTCACCAATGGGCTAGAACTTAGGCTATTCAGAGTTCTTCCCTGTGGGAATACAATTTCTAAATTCCCAGTGCCTATTTCTCTGTGACAGTAATGATGGATTTCTAGAGTACCCATCACCATGATCTCTAGGTGCACAAATGTCTTAAATGCCGTTAGGTACAATATTGACTTGTAGGAATATTCAGTCAACCTCAGAAATTCATTGTAACCCATTTTAGCCACTCAAAGGGCTGCTCTTACTTAATTTCAGCCAGAGTAGAAGCTCACTGCTAGATCTCCAGGTCCCTTTCCCCAGTATTCCCCTTTTTATGTCATGTGTCTGAGATGCTGGCTCTCTAAAGGTTTGATTTAATCCTTTGGATAATAAAAAGGTTGGCCTGTGAGGAGTTGCATTCTGCTCAATGTCATTGTCATTATTCATGTTTGTATTTGCTGCATGTCTTGTATGTGCAAGAGGTGGGGCATTGTGGGGAAGAGAGAGGTTAATTAGTGGGCAGAAGGGTGGTGTTAGAGAGCTCCTATATTCTATGTTTAGAAAAGTGGCCTGTTTCTATAGTGTATCTTTGGGTAAGAAGAGAAAGGTAAGGCCAGTGTTCAAAGGAACAAGCTGCTGCTGGGACCATTGTTTCTTCTTAAATCTAGATTCATCCCAGATATGTGGATGTTTCCTACTTCCTTCCTCCCTAGTCTCTTCTATGGAGATTGAAAGCTGCAGCTGTGGAAGTAGATTTAGCTGAATTAACTTTACTGCTGTTGGCCTACTGCCCAAAACTGCTCCTGGAGTTGTTAAGTGAAATATCTTGGAATTGTCATGTTACAAGTGTAAGGGACTGCAGTTTTATAACCCAGCCAGTCTACTGCTTGTGACTACTATGATAGCCATTACAGGAACTGACATCCAGAGAATAAGAGATTGTCTGGGATTCTAGATAAACGTAAACAACAAATAGTCTGATAGCACTTTGTTTATCCTGTACAGACTAACTTGGCTATTCCCTGAAGCTTTTGAACATTCATGGGATTCTAGAATAATTCAAGTGAAATACAAAAGAATTTTCCAGGAGGCATATGGGAAAAAACCTATGTAGCATGGAACAACTGGTGGCTGTGACCACTGTTGTCTCTAGTTATGGGTGAAATCCTCACTTATATGGGCTGAGGAAGGGGCTGTTTAGCCTATGCACAGTTAGAAAGTAGCTTGTCACACCTGGATTTTCTCTGATGCCTCATTTAGGACAAAGCACATTCCCAGGTTCTTGCAGCTTAAACTGGCTGTATTAACTAGAGGTGAATAGCTATGATATGTCTGAGGATAGATGAAAGAGTGACTGACTGGATAGGCAGGAAGAATGTGTGAACTAGTCCCAATACTCATTGTGATCATTTTTACTTTGGCATAGCCTGCCACTTCATCCTGCCATCACTTGCTTTTGTTTTTTGTTCCTGTTTTTTGTTTATATCTCTTGAACGTTGTCCTGCAAATTCTGCTCTGCCACCTCGTCAGCTGCAGTACCTCTGAGAGCTTGATGTCTCCAATTAAGCAGGCTCCACGGAAGTCACCCTCCGACACAGAGGGTTTGGTAAACCACGTACCTGCCAGATTGCATCAGGTAAATTTCAGTACTCTCCAATGCAGTGACCCCCCAGGGTGTGGAAGAAGCAGATCCAGCCTATGGAGAGGATGAAGGTGGGGTGGGAGAGGTGAATTAGTTGGCTATGTCGTTCCATGTACTTGAGCATTTGGGAGGACAAGGGATCTGCTCTGTATGGGACGCGGTGTAAAACTGTAGCAGGGGCTTGTGAACTGTGGTGAAGCTGAGATTTGTGAACTATACTTAATAGCTTTAACATGTCCAGAAAAATGGAGGGATTCAACCTGGCAGTTAATGATTAGATAAGGAGATACATATCCCTTTTGTCTTGGTTCTCTCTAGAGGGGAAAAAGACTTGTTCTTACCTCATCTTAGTTAACATGGTAACTGATATGAACTAAAATCCCAGTGAAGACAAGGCAGTTTGCTGCCTTCAATTGTATTAGCAGATTGAGGTAGTTGTCATTGTCATCTTAGCACATGCTAAGGTGGCACATGGCCAGTATTCCTCATAAAATTTGATCTGCTGGTTTGATTGTTGGTTTTCTTGGCTTGGGCCAGGTACTAACAGGGAGCATGACATGAACACTGATCCATGCACCCCAGGATGAAATAAAGACCTACTTACATGTGAAAGCTACCTTATCTTCAGTAGCCTTTTTCCTTGTGTCAGTTAGCTCATATTAGTTAACATGAGCAAAGAACACACCTTTTCTTTTTTTCCCCTAGTGCTGACTCACTCTAAGACTGCCCACACAGTAGCTGTGAGATGTAATGCCCAGCTCAGGTAGATGTACATGTGCTAGCTCTGCTAAGCTAATGCTCTAAAAATAGCAACGAGGCCTCTGGGGATGTGACAGGCTAACCGGTACCCGGCAAGCAGCACCTTAAATGGGAGAGACTTACCAGTTCTGGGTAACAAGTAGGGCTTACTGTGGACCTCCCTCATCCTTCCAGAGCTTCTGAGTGCTGCAGATAGCTCATTTGTGGTGCTCAAGCTTGGGGGAAGGGGTGCTCAGGGGAAGAGGTAGGTTGGGAGTGTAAGGTCTGAGTGAAAGGGACGGAGCTGGGCATGGAGGGAGGGGATTGGGGCGCTTAGTTAGTGGTGCTGTCAGAGAGGCATAGGTGGCTCTGTGCCTCCCTGTGCTTGCAGGCACTGCCCCACCTTCCCATTGGCTGTGATTCCCAGCCAATGGGAATGATAGATTGGAAGCCTGCAGGCCCTTGTGCTAGCTGCCCTGCCATTCCCTCAGTTCCATTGATCCAGATGGTAGTATTGAGTGCTCAGTCATTTGTCTTTTTTTGGTATGTTTAATTCTGAATCTTAACTTCAGTTTGTGGAAGCTCATTGTACACTGTATCAGTCAGTACCCTGGAAATCCAGAAATAGTTTGCATCTAGTTGTCTAAATGTTCTGACAGTTGCATACCTCAGGTTTACTTTCACTGTCCTTCCCAGCAGATGTCCGTGTGTTCCATCTTGTCAGAACTATATATTGTCTCAGTTACCCACTTCATCCTCCTTCTTGTTTTCATTCTCCATCACCTTGTTTGTTTGAATGAGAGAGCGCACTGTCCCCACTGAGTGCAAAAATTTTCTGTTGTCTGAATAACTTCTTCATTAATGTAAGAATAGTAGCCCAGTGTCTGAGAGTCTGAAACGCCGAAATGCTGGCTCTTCCCTCTGGGGAGCGCTGTTGCCTGAAATGCTGGCTGTTCCCTCTGGGAGGCGCCGTTGCCTGAAATGCTGGCTGTTCCCTCTGGGAGGCGCCGTTGCCTGAAATGCTGGCTGTTCCCTCTGGGAGGCGCCGTTGCCTGAAATGCTGGCTGTTCCCTCTGGGAGGCGCCGTTGCCTGAAATGCTGGCTGTTCCCTCTGGGAGGCGCCGTTGCCTGAAATGCTGGCTGTTCCCTCTGGGAGGCGCCGTTGCCTGAAATGCTGGCTGTTCCCTCTGGGAGGCGCCGTTGCCTGAAATGCTGGCTGTTCCCTCTGGGCGGCGCTGTTTCTGAAATCCTGGATGTTCCCTCCGAGCGGCCCGTGTTGCATGGGGAGTGCAGGGCCCAAACAGCCACTTGCTCCCACGTGGCGGCCTGGCTGAGAGGCGCAGAAGTCAGCCGAGCGCCACAGTAGTAGGGGAAGGGGGGTGGGGCGGTGATGTGCGGCATGACAGCGGCTCCAGGCCCTGCCCAAGAGAGGCAGGAGTGGACGAGAGCTGAGAGAGAGAGAGGGTGAGGCAGTAGAAGGAGAAGAGAGAGAGAGGCCGTTTGTGTTGCTTGCTCCTGCACAGCACAAAAGTCAGCCGAGCGCCACGGCGGGAGGTGAAGGGGCGAGGCAGTGACGTACACGCCTAGGGGGCGGGGCCTGGACGAGCGTGCAACCCCGAGGGAGACAGAGGAGAGTCGAGAGAGAGTGTGAGGCAGGAGGGGGGGAAGAGAAAGAGAGAGACCGAGGGAGAGGTAGAAGGCGGAGGAGAGCTGAGAGAGAGGGGGGGAGACAGGAGAAGGAAAGAGAGAGAGACATGGAGCGAGAGACCAGAGGCTCAGGAGAGAAGACCGAAGTGGAGGAGAGACCTGAAAATCCCGTCTTATGATGGGTTAATTGGCTAGTTAACGTAAGAATTGGCCTTAGGGAGTCAGACCAATGGTCAGTCTAGCTCCTTATTCTGTCTCTGAGAGTGGCAAGTGCCAAATTGCTCAAAGAGAATAAATGGAATAGGGCAGTTTCAAGTGATCCATACCCAGTCTTCCTGACCAAGTTTTTGGAACTGGAGATTTAGGGACACCCTGGGCATGGCATTGTGCCCCCGATCATCTAGGCCAGTGATGCTCAACTTTTTTTAATTTGCGGCCCCCCCAAGGCTGGGAAAATTTTTGTTGGGGGAGGGGGAGAAGCCCCAGGAACATTTTGTTGCGGCCCCTTTAATTTAAAGCACTGATCCGCTCCCCTGCTGCTCCCCCCACCGCGTGTACGTCAGGAACCAAGCCGGAAAACAAAATGACGGCTGGCTCGGATTGAAGCTCAGCAACCCCCCAGGAAGGACCCATGGGTTGCACACCGCTGATTTATGCTAATAGCCACTGATGGAGTTATCCTCCAGTCTTGCTAGTGGCCTGGGTTCCAACATTTGGCAAGCAAAATAGAAGGCAAATACCTTCTGCTACAGAACTATGCCAAATGCAACGAATAGTTGGCACCTTTTGAATACTGAGCTCTTGTGTCCTGGGTTTGCAAACTCTTTTCTGATCAGAGAGAGGTAGCATTGGCTCTTAAAACCTGCCTGCAACTTCACATGCATGCTCAGGCAGTGTTTACACTACCACTTATGTTGGTAACATTTATATTGCTCAAGGGTGTGAATATTCCACCCACCGGAGTGAAGTAAATTACTCTGCACAGTGATATATCAGTAGGAGAACTTCATCCGCCAACATAGCTACCATTGCTTGTTGGGGCATGGATTAATTATGTCAGTGGGGGAGCGTACTCCAGTTGGCTTGTAGCCACTACATTAGAGATCTTAGTGGTGCAGCTGCATTTATATTGCTGCACTGCTATAAGCTCTCTAATGTAGACATAACTTCAGCTCTTCTCCCCAAGACAGATTTTTAATTGGGCTCTACAGATCAAACCCAGTAATATTTCACTATTGATTAATGCAAAATAACACATGAAAATGCATGAACAGCTAGTACAAAATGCATCAAACACATACAGAAACTATTTTGTCTGTAATATGTGATGGTCAGCTCAATACTTAAATTAGAGCTATAGCTTAAAGTTGCAGAACATTTATTTAGCATCTGTAAGGAATCTATGAGCATGTACCCCAGGGCTATCCTTAGGCATGCACAGCATATGTAGCTGCGTGGGGCACAAGTGTGATACCCCAAATTTAGTGGTGCTCTATGCTGCATATGCTGAAGGACAAGCTTTGGCGGCCCCTGCCCAGCTGTCCTTCCCTTCTGCCTGCACCAGTTCCAGTAGCCCCTTTCCCTGCATTCTCATGGGCTAAGAACTGGGGCTCTGGGAGCTCCCAGCCCCATTCCTCATCTTCTCCCCCTCCCTTCCCTGAATTCTGCACCCAGCTCCTGCTCGCCAGGCTGCAGTGAACAGTAAGTGTAGGCCAGAGGCTCTGGGGAACAGGGGATGGCTGCACTGCTGGAGAGAAGCAGTGGTTTCCCCTTTAAAGCACTACTTCTCTCCAGCTAGCTGCATGGCTGTCTTGTTTTCTGACCTCTGATCACACCACCCACCACTCCTTGTTCTTCCCGCCTGCTATCCTGAGGCTGCAAGCGAGCCTCCCTGCTCTCCTTCAGGGTTTCTGCCTTTCAGCAAATGGTATCTGCTTGGGGAGAGTTGGTAACCCCCCAAGACCTCACAGTTTCTGCTTCCAGAACCCAGTCTCCACCCGTACCCTACCTGCTTCCCCTGTGAGGGGGTGTATGTGTGCCATTGCTGGGCTACGTAGAGCTGGGCTACGTAGAGCACCAGCACTGGTAGGGGACAGGCCTGATGTACCCATTGCAGCCCATGTATCTGTGAGTCACAGGCAATAAGTACGTTTAATTTCACTGTTCTTGTTGCTCCAGTAAAGTTAATTTCCTGGCTCTCTATTGATAAATTTTAAGATAAATAACAGCCCTGTGATACTATATCACCAGGTTGCTTTGAGTTATTCCTTACTTATACATATACAGGTTAGCATGAAACAGAATGTTCTGTTGATCATGAATAGCCATAATGAACTTCAGTCTCACTGCAACTACTGAACCATCCATCAAAACTGCTTTTGGCATTTGTGTATTTTTAAAAGCTAATTGACCAGCTTTTTATATAGATTGAAGTAACTCTCCTCATCCTACCAGGAAGATAACTTTCCTCATCCTACCAGGTTTCTGAACAGGTTTTTTTCTCAGATAATATTAGGCCAACCTTATTTTAAATGTTTTCCCAAATATGTACCAGGGCACCACTAAGGAGAAGGAAATTGCCAGATGTCCCTCTGATTTTAAAAGATGTTCCCAGATACCCATATGCAGACACGTCTGTACTTTGTGAAATGAAGCTTAATATAATCCAACTAAACAGATATATACACTTTCTCTAATGACTTAAAAGGCATTCTGGGCCTTCCTCACACCCAAACTATATTCTGGGTTAGGGCCATTATCTCTAGTTTAAAATCTTTGAAAACTCTGAGGCTATGTCTAGACTACAGGCTTCTTTCAGAAGAAACTTTTCCAGAAGAAATCTTCTGAAAAATCTTCTTCCGAAAGAGAGCATTCACACTGCCAAAGCGCATCAAAAAAGCAATCTGCTTTTTTGAAAGATAGTCTCCAATCAATGTAGATGCTGTCTCGCATTTAAGCTGTGATTACTATGGATGGACTGGCCACCAGGACACCTGTGCTTTTTCCTCATTCCTCTTCTTGCGAAAGAACTCCCTCTTCCCCGTCCACACAGCTTTTTCTGAAAGGGCTCTTTCGGAAAAAGGCTTCTTCCTTGTAGAAAGAGGTTTACTAATGTTGGAAAAACCCCTCTGTTCCTTCGATTTTTCCTCCCGAAAGAACATGATTGCAGTGTGGTCGTAAGTGAAGATTTTTGGAAAAAACAGCCATTTTTCCGGAAAAAAAACCCTCTGTAGTGTAGACATAACCTGCGTGTCTCTCTGGCCTTTCCCCTAATTGGGTAGCATTTTGCTATGGAAGGAAAGATTGAGGTGTTCCATTAATGGCATTGATTGTGTTACTGCATTTGCTTCTCAGGGGTAATTACATGACATTTGATCATTTTGCAAGCAGGCAGATCTATGCAGAGCACAAATCCCAGAGAATAGGGGGTGTTGGAGGAAATTCTACTTTCTTAGATGGTGGGAGAGGTCTGTTAGTAGCATCTTACTTGATCTTTCCCTTCCTCCTCCTCCCAGTTTTCTGTTTAATGATGTATATGTATATGACAATTGTATCCAGTACCCATGGTTCTTTGGAAGGCATCACGCCTTACTTTACTGTTACCTTTCTTGCTCCTCCACCTTTTTTTAAGGTGGCTTTTAGCTTAGTTTGATAAATGTTTCTACTAGAAGTTATTTATAACCTTCCCTTCCTCTTAACAGATAAATGGAATATTTTGGAAGTAGTAGTGGTTGAAGAGCGGCTGAGCAATAGCATGCAACAGCTGTTTTTCAGCTAGCAAATCTCTCTCATTACAGGGCTGGACTTTCTCACCCCTTCCTTATTAATCTGTTGGAGAGCAGATTGTCAGTGTGTTTGATTCAACGCAATCAAATTTGAAACACACATCCTTCCAGGAAGGAAAGGGAGTCTTGGTGGTTTATGTGAAGGCCACTTTGATCCAGAGAGATTAGGGAAGCTGAGAAACAACTCAAATTGAGGAAAGGGAAATAAGTGCTGGCAAAGAGACTCTGAAATAGGGATGCTAAAATGTATTTAACTAAGTAATTGAAATTTTAAGCAGTTACACGTGGGGTGGCATTCGGCTCCCTGGGAGTAGGTGTGCTGAGGAAGTAGCTTTTAAGTGTGTTAAATGTTTCTGAATGGGGCAAAGTCAGTTGCTTCCTCTTAGTTCTCATTAGGACTGTAAAGCTACGTCTATACCACGGAACTAAGTATCCCAAAATAGCTATTTGATGTCTTCGAAAAAGCCCATTATTTTGAAATGTAATGGGTTCGCTATTCAGATGTCCCTGCAAACCTCATTCCATGAGGATTAAGGGACATTTTGGAATAGCGTTCTATTTTGAAATTAACTCGAAATAAGCTATGCAATTCCTGTAGCTTAAATTGCGTAGCTTATTTCGAGATAAGGGTGCAGTGTAGACACACCGTAAGTGTGACTGAGGCCTGGTCTGTATTTTTAAATGTAAGGTTGACGTCACTAAAGTTTGTAAAATCCACATCACTTCCCCCATTCCCCTGACTGACATAACTATTCTGACCTTCCCCCTGGTGTAGATGCAACTATGTTCCTGCTTTTTGTAGACATAGTTACCATGATTCAAGGAGGTGGTGTTCCTACACAGAGAGAAAAATCCCTTCAGTTTAGGCTTTGTCTGTGCTACAGAGTCTGTGCCCTGAGAGTGTGGTGATGTATCTCTGCTGGTATAGTGTCTGTAGCATAGCTATACTCTGAGTGTGCAGACTTTCAATTGTGCTGAAACCACTACTCTAGTGGTTGCACTCTCCTCAGCTTTGTCTCTGGGGGAATTGTTTGCTTTAGAGTATGAGGGGTAGTTTTATTCCTATCCGTTTGTTTGCTCCCCTAAGCTTTCCATATGTCTGTCTGCTGCACTTTTTGCACCCTCCTCCAACTTTGTAGGATATAATATAATCTCATACCATGTTCATTACAGTGATAAAGCTTCTTTCTCTTCCCCTTGAAATTTTCTGAAAGGAAGCTCCTTGTATCTAACTCACTCAAAGTGCAGTACCCCAGCACAGTAGATAAGTTGTCTTTTTGCTGAAATCAGTTTCCCACCTCCTTGTATCTAACTCACTCAAAGTGCAGTACCCCGGCACAGTAGAGAAGTTGTCTTTTTGCTAAAATCAGTTTCCCATCCTTTCTCCTGCTTCTCAGATACCCATCCTTAGGTTATGTCATGCTCCAGTCCCATCCCCATCACCCTCTGTACTTCATACTCCTGCAGGTTGTGTTTCATGGAGCACAGGTATTCATGATAAACCTATGTGTTTCAGTAGAGCATTTAGTACTTCCGTTCTGACGCTTCATGTGCATTGCTGCCCTCTAGAGCATTGACACAAAATTGTTTCACAATATCTGTCAAGTTCTTTGGTGTAATCCACAAACTATATATGAGGATTCCTTCCATGATCACTGAAGTGCAGCTATCTGAACATGATATAGTTTGGCAGAACAGGGTAGATCATGGAGAATACTAAATCTATTTAAAACTGCGCAAGGATGAGATGAGATGTTTGGGGCAGCACGCAATTTGAGGACCTGCACACAAGGCCTGATATTGCTACTAGGGCTGTCGAGCGATTAAAAAATTTAAATGCTCGATTAATTGCGTACGCCTCCCCTTTGAAACACTGCGGTGGCATTTCAGTGGGACAGCGCTGCATGGAGCCTGGGATCACCTGGAGTCTCGAGATGACCATGGGCTTCATGCAGCGCTGCCCCTTGGAAGCGCCGTGGCAGCATTTCTAAGGGGCAGAGCATTAGGAGCCTGGGATCAGCTGGGGAGTCCAGCTGATCCCCGGCTCCACTGTTGCAAAGCCCCTTTGAAGCGCTGGAGCAGGGTGTTACAAAGCCTCTTTGAGGTGCCGCTCTGGTGCTTCAAAAGGGCTTTGCAACAGCGGAGCCAGGGATTAGCTGCGGATGCAGCATTAACGCCTGTGATTAACACGTTAAAATTAATGCATTAAACCCGTCCTGCGTTAATCACAGGTGTTAATGCAGGTCAATTGACAGCCCTAATTGTTACTCAGGTTTCAAGGGAGCCTTCATGACCCCCATGATTAGACCTGTTTTAAAACCAAATGATGCTGGATAAGTAATGAGGTAGGTATATTGACTATATCATCACTAGCTGCAGCATCTAAGTGGTTCTTGTTACTGTATCATAGGATTGAACCAGTTGCTTACTTAGCTGGTGAGAGGTGATTTCATCCTGTCATGCTGTGGCTACAGGCTAGAACTCATTCACTCTACTTGAGGAACTGATCTTCCAGTGTTCCAGTAGGGAACTGATTTGAAGGTCTTCGGTTAAAGCTTATAAAATGAACACTATCACTTAGTGGCATACTATAGCACAACATTATACTTAAAAAGTGAACCCTAGCTTGCTTTTGACTGAGCTACACATCTTCTTCATAGCTTTCTGAGTCTGTTAAGGAAACATGGATACATTTCAGAACTGTGAATCCTTCCTTGCATTCCTTGCCTGCCAGCCAAACCAATTAACATGAGGCCCCAGTTCTGCACGGTACTCTGAGGTTGCAAGTAAGGTGATGCACCTGATTTCTTGTATAGGAGAAGGTGCAGTCCACTTGCTTTGGGGGGTTCCATTGATGATCTCACAAGAGACCCTGCCGCAGGGAGAGGGAAGTGCAACCCATTCAAAAAAGCGCTGATTCTATGTTTTGTCTTTCTGTCCTCAGGGCCCAGTCATTTATGCGCAATTAGATCACTCCGGCGGACGACACAGTGACAAGATTAACAAGTCAGAGTCCGTTGTTTATGCTGACATTCGGAAGAACTGAGGAAATTCCATCGTATCCAAAGCAAAACAGAAATTCAAACTGGAATGGCTTGAATCAAATGTGACCCAGAGAACTCACATGTGGCCTTTGATGCCTAGGCTAGGACCAATGCATGTGAATACAGAGAGATATATATGTGTTGTGTGTAAATAGTCTATTTAATCGTACAAAAGTGATTCCAGTGTTGCATGTTGAGATGCAGTAAGAAATCTGCTTATAAATGGCCAATATTCTTCTTTTGTATCTAGGATAAGAGGAGAAAAAGAGAAAATTCATAACATGGCAATTTTTAAATATATTTTATCTCAATCATTAATGGGGAAACTGGAAGGTGCTAGCGGATTCTAGATTTACTGGCTCCTTTCTCACAGGGCTTTTCTTTCTTGAAGGGATGGATATGAGGAAGATAGTTTCCACAGGATATTTCCTCTTCACCAGGCTGTACATATTTTCCTTAGAAAAACTGTCCTCATCTGAATGGGAGAAGGAAGAGTTAAGCTACAAAGGGTCTGGTCAAAATTAGCTATTTGAAATGTCTACTCTTCACCCCTTTAAATGTGTGCAAACTTTTAGATTTATATAACAGTGACATTGCTCATAGATTAATAGATGTTATGGCTAGAAGGGACCATTATTAGCTAATCTAGTCTGACCTCCTGTATATTGCAGGCCATAGAATTTCATATAATTACTCCTTTATTGAGACCATGTATTATTAGAGCTTAAAGCCAGTCCCTTAGAACACAGGGACTGTGTTGATCCAGTGGGGTTTGTGCAGTGAAAATAAAACCCAACTTTTCATAAGCAAGTGAAGGGGGATATCTAAGAAACTTCATATTTGGGTAACTTGCTTCAATTAGATCCTGACGTACCCTTCCCTGGCACAACCTGCTTCCAGTGAAACCTGCTGGATTGTTTTGTCCACTTGTAGCAGGAAGCAGGGGCTCTACTGGAGAGAAATGACATTGCACTTTGTGGAAAAGGAATAGTGATTAAAACTTTACTTGCAATAATCTGCCTATACCGTCTTTCCCTGAAGCTAGTTTAGAGTAAGGGGGAGAAGTGTGATGAATGGAACCTGCTGCTATAAGAGGACAGGACTATCCTTGGTTCCACTGTCACTGACTCTTACTAATGACCCACCCCCTGTGATCTGCTAGAACAGGAATAATTAAACAATGCATAGAGTATACACCCCTACCTATATGCCTGACACTGAGGCTAGCTTGCTCATTTGGGAATCTCCCCCGTGACCTGTTTAGTCTAGTTGAAGGCGTGTGAGCTAGACCCATGCTGGAGAGATTAATGTCAAGGTTTCTTGGATCCTCTTTGTTCTTCACTTGTATTTTTATGAATACTTGCTTATATTTTCAAAGGCTCATTGAGTCCTTCTGGAAGGAAACAAGCTGCCACTTGTGTGCAGTGAACTGCGGGCATCGTGACCTGAAGATCTTGTCTGAGCCTGGATAGGGACATGGAGCTTTGCATTTATGGGAACATAACCAACACTCCATGGCTGATATAAACAGCTTCAGATGTTGTTGTCTAAAGCTGGAGCCAGAAATACTTGATGCAGTATGGGACTGAAACTATTGTGAATGTCCTTTCCTTTGATTTGTCTTAACTTTGAAGCTTGTTCATCAGGAACAGTAACTTGTGTTAGTGGAAGTGGAGTGAGTTGACTTCAGGTTTCACTCAGCTCAGAGGATTTTGTGATTGCTTTTCCGCTAATGAGATCAGACCTGGGACTTGATCAGTTTTAACCCTATTTTAGCCAATAGAGCATGCAGATTTTCCTCTTTAGTCCCTGCTACTAACCTGGTCTCTGCCAGTTAAAAAGAAGTGCAAACCTTAAAGGGCTTTTAAAATTCCTCCAGATTTGCTGCCCTTGTCCAGGGCTGGCGCTGCTGAGGTATGTGCTAAGTCGCTACTTGTGATGAATGCTTTGTGTAAGTAGGAGAAGGAGGGCTTGTAGCACCGAAGAAGGGTAATCAGATGTCCCTTTGTTTGTGATAAAACAGGTGTAAAATCTGAAATGAGGATGTAAAACAGTTAATCTGTGTGACTAGATTTGGAAGGATTTGATTTTTTTAAATTGGTAAATGTCAGGAAATGTTGATTTCACTGTGCATGCACAAACTGACACAAAGTATACGTGAAATTTAGATGGAGGCAAAATAAGAAAAATGCTTCTTGAGAGCATATTAGTTTGACTTAAGGCTATTAATTTGTATATGTGGAATGTGGTGTTGACAATATGTATGCTAATAGTTATATTGCTTTAACTCTGTTAAAATCTCAACATCTATTGTAGTAAATAATTCTCATCCCTCAATTTCCCAAAGCTGTGAAAGTTTAAACTAAAAAATACTCAAAATCCACAATTTTCCACAACTATGAAAATTTAAATCGAAAAGATAGGTAACAATAAGCATTGATATTGTCCATCAAAATTGCAAAGAATAAAAAATAGAATCCTGCCAAGCTTGTATAAAATTGCTGCAGCTCAAAACCTCCATCTCCCTTCCCATGAAAAGAAGCATAAATTGAGGACTGGTTTACACTGAAAATTTACCTTGACATAGGTCAGTCTCATGAGGTGTGAGAAATCTGCTGCCCAGATAGTTGGTGCTACTGACATAACCCTCGGTATAGACTGCATTCTTCCATCAACTTAGCTACCACCTCTCTGCGTGGGTGGATTATCTATGCCAATAGGCAATCCGCTTTCTGCAGGTAGTGGTTTATGCTGAAGCGTTACAGCAGAAGAGATGCATCTGTGCTGCTATAGAGATTAAAGTGTAGACATAGCCTGAATGACATTATAGTGAAGTCCCAGACTATGATCTGTTCGTATTAACCTATTTTTGAAGCTATGAAAAGGAATGAATTGCCTGCATGCTTTGTTCCACCCCCCCTTTCTGTACTGCAGTCAGTTACTCAGGGCTTGTCCACTCCAATGTTTCTCAATCAGTGGTATGAGTACCCTTAGGGGTACTCAACAGAAGATTGGGGGGTACATCAACACAACTGAAATTTGGCGAAAACTGAATTTTTGTTTTAAGTTTTACAGCATTTTATTTTTGTACTTTTTACACCCCAAAATTTCATCGCCTGTCTGGCTATGATTAAGTTGTTTAAACAAATGTGTTGCAATGGTAGAAAAAAAGTTGTGTGTCTGAAAACAGTAGGTACTGGGGGTACTTATCATTTTTTAAAGTGGTACTTTATAAAAAAAAAAAAAGATTGAGACACACTGGTCTACACAGTGAGACTATACCAGCATAATTACAACAGCAGAGCTATGCCAGCATCACAGTGTAGCGGAGTGGTCCCCAACCTTTTGGGGCTGCCAGGCTCCCGGGGGCAGGGCCACTCACGCACCGGGCACCCGGAGGTGGGGCCGCGCATGTGCCCGGGGGCAGGACCACCCATATGCCGTGTGCCCGGTGCTGGCGCCACCCATGCACCGCAATCCTTGGGCCGGCGCCGCTCCTGTGCTGCACGCCCAGGGGTGGGGCTGCCCATACGCCACACGCCCAGGGCCAGCACTACTCCTGTGCCACGTGCCCGGGGTGGGGACACCCATACGCCTCGCACCTGAGGCCGGAACAGCCCATGTGCTGCATGCTCGGGGCTGGCGCCGCTCCTGTGCCATGCACCCAAAGGTGGGGACGCCCATACGCTGCGCACCCGGAGGCCGGCACCGCCCACGTGCTCGGGTCTCGGGGCTGGCGCCGCTCCTGTGCCATGCACCCAAAGGTGGGGACGCCCATACGCTGCGCACCCAGGGGCCGGCACCGCCCACGTGCCCGGGTGCGGGGCCAGCCTCGATCACTCGGTGGGCGCACAGAAATGGCCCAGCGGGCGCCATGGCGCCCGCAGGCACTGCGTTAAGGACCACTGGCTGAGGGAAGGGGTTCTGGTGGTATAGAAAAACCACCTCTCTGAATGCTGAGAAATGGCCCAGCGGGCGCCATGGCGCCCGCAGGCACTGCATTGAGGACCACTGGTTGAGGGAAGGGGTTCTGGTGGTATAGAAAAACCACCTCTCTGAATGCTGAAAGCATTGCTTTGTCAATGTAGCTGTACGGGGAGACTGAAAGCATTGCTTTGTCAATGTAGCTGTATCTATAGTGCGGGGAGGAGGTTAGGTCAGTGTAGCTTTGTGGGTTGGGGTGTGACTCCACTAAATCCCTCTCTGATGTAGCTGTATTGACCTAACTTTTAAGCCCTGTTCTGCACTTCAAACTGAGATTAACCTTACTGCATTGATTAGGGGGGTGAAAAATTCACCCCCTAAATACTGACTTAACCCCAGGTGTAGATGCAGTTTTGTTGCTGGAACAATTCTTCCAGTAGCTTAACTGCTGTTGCTCAAAGAAGTGGATTACTTGCATGGACAGAAAAACCTTTCCTGTCACTTTAGGATGCACCTCTACAGTAAGGCACTGGAGCTGCGCTGCTGTAGCATCCGTACTGTAGGTGACGCACCTCTACAGTAAGGCACTGGAGCTGTGCTGCTGTCGCATCCCTACTGTAGGCGTGCCCCAAGTGTAGATCCAGCCTTACACAGTTGTGCTGTCCCAAGAGGCGCCTCCAATATAACAAGCTGAGGTAGGCTCTGTGGGAATTGCATTGTACCTATGATGGCAAATGCTTTTTAAATCTTGTCTTTACCTCATAGCACAGGATCTAGTCAGCGCCACGTACTATTTTCTACTTTTTAGGAGAAGGAGTTCTCCTGACTCTGTCTGTACTGAGAACAAGGTTAGTTATAGATACCCTTTGTGGTTATCTCCTTGACTCAGTCTGCTACAGGAACTGACACCTTTTTTTACTTGGATGGTTTCACTTCTGTTTTGCTTGTCTTTCCCTTCAGAAAACATGCTGCTGGAACTAAAATGATGGCAAAGCAGCAAAATTCTGTTTCATCGACTGAGACCTTTCAACTCTTAGTTGATTGCTAGCAAATGAGCATATACGTGGAACATCCATAGGACTGCTGTTGCTACTTTCAAATGAATTGGTGGTCATAGTCATCTCAACACTCCTTTCCATACTTCGGTCAATATTGGACTGCAGTTCTACAGGGCAGCTTATCCAGGGTTAAGGGGGTAGGATAAAGATATTTTAAATGGTGCTTAGAGGAGATGTTGCATTGAAAGCCTTTCCACAGTAGCAGTTATTCCTGTTGATGCATAAAGCCCAGTCTGTACCTGTATTGCTCTGAGTTTTGTAGAGTTCTACTGACATTTCAGTTTATGCTTAGAGAAACTGAAAATAGTTGTTTGGGGATAACCATCTGCCTTGTAACTTGTGCGCCTTAGAGAAACTGAAAATAGTTGTTTGGGGGTAACCATCTGCCTTGTAACTTGTGTGCTATGTGTGTGTGTGAGAGAGAGAGAGAGTGTGAGTGAGTGTGTGCACGACACTTAAATAGTTTCTCTAGAGGGCGCACTGTTGGTGTGGTGTGACGAAGGACCATATGATCTGTAACATAAATGCCCTGGAACCTGTTTTAAACCTTGCTTGGTGTTTACATTATTCTTCTATCAGTCTAGGACATTTAAAATCAAGATTTTTCTTTTATGTATACAGAGGGGTGGGATTGGAGTGTTTTTTTCCCTCTTGATTGCACCAGATCACTGATCAGATATCTGGCGAAGTATCTGACTTTGCTGAGTTGTAGTCATTTTCCCGTTATACCAGAATCTAGATTTTGGCACATCGTATGTTAAAGGTCACCAGACTACATAGAATTTTAGAAATGTAGATCTGAAAGAACCTCAACAATTCATTAAGTCCTGTCCTCCGGTCTGAGGCAGGACCAAGTAATGAAGATCCTAAGTCATAAACTACTTTGCTCAGACTTTATTCCATTATGTATGTGGTTTGTTTTTTTTAAGATCTCCCTCCTCATTCCTCTCAAACACAAGCAACCCCTTTTATTTTAAGGTATTTCTGCACTTTCTAGAACTGGAATTTAAATTGAATGAAGTTTCCTGCCTTCTGGGGTGAATATTCTATGTGGTCTGGTCTCCTTCCCTCCAAAGCAGCTGCAACATGGAGTATTAGAGACACTTCGACATAGAGACAGGAACTTTTGGTTCTTATTCCTGCAGACCTCTTAACTTGGAAAGTATCTTCTGAAACAGGGAAGGAAAGCCACCTCCCCACTAAAAGGATAGAGCACCAATATCCTGACTAGCTTTGGGGGTGGAGGAAGCAGGAAAACACCTATAAAATGGGTGTATAATTGTGGAAGGGAGCCATGTGTATGCTGCTTGGCCTCACTATATAAAGTTAAGTCCATGGAGAGCTGGTCATAGCAACTGCGCTTTGTGCTTTTTTGGACAGATTCTCTTGATTTGGATACTAAAATCATACTGTTTAATTTTTCTTGACTGATTTTAATGTTTTCTATTGTAATCTTGTGACTATTTTAATACACTCTTTTCCATTATTGGTCTTTTGTGGTCTTTTGCACAAGTCTTATCTGGTTATGGGGGAGACTGGAATACACAAGCACCTTGCACCTTAGAGACAACACAAAGATGACCTTTTCATTCATCTGATATAAGCTACCAATATTGGAACACTGCATGGTTGGATAACCTTTTACCAGGGGATCTTGGTGTGTTTTACCAATATTGAGCTGCACAGTTCCCCTGTAAAGCAGGTAAGTGGTGTTATTGATCTTGGAGGACTTGCAGGGAAGAGTGAAGACGTTTGCCCAAAGCTGCTCTGCAGGTCAGTAGTAGTGTTGGGAATAAGCTCAGAAGATGTGGCTTCCAGTGTCTTGTCACAAGCCTGCCACCTTGTGAAGCTGCCTTTATAGAATGCTGTTACCATTCTTCAAAAGTCTCTAGACAAATCCTGTTAGATAAAGGCATCCTTTCTGGTAGAGAGAATGATCTCCCTACCTTGCTACAGAACAAATAATAATTGCACTTGGCAAAACAGATCCATTGGTCTGCTTCAGCGTCTGACCAGAGATATATTAGTCAGAGATGGTGACTTCCTGCCATATCCTTAGGCGACCATATTGAATGAAATGTCTTTTGAGATCCATTGTATTCAATAAAGGGTTTATGCTGTGGTGAACTGGGACTGTATGTAATCTCTCAAGGTGCAAGATGACTGCTGTGAGACCTGGGTGTTTAAAGGACTGAACAATGCCAGATAAAAATGGAGTTTTGGAACAGTGTTTAGTGCTTTTCCTAGGAAGTATAACGGGAGGTAAATACAAATTCCCCATCTTTGGTTATGCAAAACCTTTTGAAACTGCTCTGAAGAGTAGGTCATTTTCTGTTGATCATCTGTTACATGAGGACATGATCAAATCTTAAGCTGTATAAAGAAAATATAACTAGGAATAGCTTTAGTTCTGAATCAGAGATTGTTATGAACTTCTAACAACAGGGAAAACCCAGTTAAGGTTTTTGAAGTACTGATACCTACTAGAGCCTGAGGTTAGAGTTGGGGTAATCTTTAGTAAACTTATTAGCATGTATGTAGTTTCTTTTGCTTTTAATATGCTTTCTCTGTTCTCTTAAGAATAAATATGCATGCTTAGAAAGAGCTGTGTTGTAACTTGTAATTGTTGGCCATACATTTCTTAGAACCTCTGGAGAGAAAGCAAAGCATGGATACTGGCCTTTTAAGCAGTCTGGCTTTCTGGGGATATCTGTGTAGACCAGGAACTATACAGACTGAAAAAAATTAGGAGTGGGAGAGATTCAGGTATATACAGGCAGTCCCCGGGTTACATGGATCCGACTTACATCGGATCCCTACTTACAAACGGGGTGAGGCAACCCCGCAGTAGCTGCTTTCCCCCAGCAGACCAGGGAGACGCGAAGCTAGCGCCCCTCCCCAATAGACCAGGGAGACGCGGAACGGCTTTTCTCAGCAGACACTTCAGCTTGAGAATAAAGGACTGAGGGAAGTGAAGTGTGGGAGAATAAAACTGAGCTCTGGAGAAATGTTTGGCTAGAGTTTCCCCTACAATATGTACCAGTTCCGACTTACATACAAATTCAACTTAAGAACAAACGTACAGTCCCTATCTTGTACGTA